GTGCACGAAATTATCTACAACTTTATCACGTAATTATGGAGGCTCTAACGAAGAACGCGCTGCCCGTGAAATTTCATTTTTCGAAAAAAAAAAAAGATATCCTTTTTTGGATCTTGTCCGCGATAAGTACATTTTTTTCGAAAAAGGAAATTTCACGAGCAGCGCGTTATTCCTTAGAGCTTCTATAATTATGTGCTAAAGTTTCAGATAATTCGGAGCACTCAGTTTGGAGAAAAGTTTTACAAATATTTTTACTTTTTGTTACGTAAATATCACACTTTCATATCACCTTAAGGAGATGTGAAAGTGGCATCCGGAAGCTCAATCGTTTATAAAACTTTTCTACGAACTGGGGGTCTCAAATCGTTTCATACTTGAAAACGTGANCGCTAAGAGGTATTTTTTTCCATTTGTTAGATATGGCCATTTGGAATTCTTATTGTTTATATGAATACGAAACACCCAATGATATTTCTATAGCTACTTTTCATCTTGAATTAATAAAATAAAAATTATGGAAATATCATTTAACCCTTTCGCGACTAACGGTGACTATAGTCACCCAACGCCTGACGCTCGCTAAGAAGTATTGTTCTCATTACGTTAGATATTGTCGTTTGGAATTCTTATTGTTTATATAAATACGAAACACTCGGAGATATTTCTATAGCTGCTTTTCATCGTGAATTAATAAGATAAATATTACGGAACACCATTTAACCCTTTCGCTACTAACGATGGCTATAGTCACCCAACGCCTGACGCTCGCTAAGAAGTATTTTTTTCCATTTGTTAGATATTGTCATTTGGAATTCTTATTGTTTATATGAATACGAAACACCCAAGGACATTTGTATAGCTGTTTTTCATCTTGAATTAATAAGACAACTATTACGGAAACACCATTTAACCATTTCGCCACTAACGATGACTACAGTCACCCAACGCCTGACGCTAGCTAAGAAGTATTTTTTTCCATTTGTTCGACATTGCCGTTTGGGATTCTTATTGTTTATATAAATACGAAACACTCGGAGATATTTCAATAACTGCTTTTCATCGTGAATTAATAAGATAAATATTACGGAAATACCATTTAACCCTTTGGCTACTAACGATGACTATAGTCACCGAAGGCTCTGATGTGAGAAACGAAAGGGTCAGGACAATTGTACGACAATTTAGAACACTCTGGTAATCGATAAACTCTCATTTGATCGGGATAAAGGAAAAATAGTGTCTTATGCCCTTCCATGCTAAAACGATGGTAATATGAGGTCTCGCAGGGAAATTTAATTGACATGAAAATCACACATGGCGCAGGGGGTCCCTCTGCAGTCAATTAAGGCCTCAGAAACCATGAATCCCGGGGATTTCTGGATTTTCACTTCGATTTCTTTATAATTATTGTACGAAAACGACAGATGGATCGTGCCATTTTGTACATTACTCAATATAATTCGACATGGCTATCGATATAGGGTCAGGACAATTTTAGGACAATTTAGAACACTCTCGTAATCGATAAACTCTCATTTGAACGGGATAAAGGCGAAAAAAGTGTCTTATGCCCTGCTATGCCAAAATGACGGTAATACAAGGTCTCGGAGTGAAAATTTAGTTGACACGGAAATCACAGATGGATGTTCAATCTTCTGATTTATGCCTGGTACCTTGTGCTTTTAATCTTAAGGCTTATGCCTTATGCCTTAAAGTTTATAGCTCGTACCTTCGATCTTAAACCATATACTCCACCTTCGGGGACGATTTCGCCCGCAGCACCCCCTTTATGTCGTCTATTGCGGTTTCCTTTCCACCCATGACGCGCCCTTCGAAAAAGGGAGCAGAGTAACTTATTCCCCTAACGACGGGATAGGGTTTCATGGATGCCCGGGAATTCTCTCCTGGAAAACCCTCTTGTGTTTGTCGGGGAACCGGAGGCGCCTCTAATATATACACCGGCGTTTCTTCGGGTTACTCGAGACGTATGCGATGTTGTAATGTGCCTTTAAGGCGATATGAAAAGGTATATGAAACGTTAAAATATTTATTAAAACTTTTCTGGAGTGCACCGAATCATTTGATATTTCAGCACGGGATTCTGAAGGCCTTCTGGAAGAACGCGATGCTCCTGGAATTTCATTTTTCCAAAAAATTTTTATTTCTTTTGCCTAGACTAGAACCAAAATTACATTTTTATTGTGAAATATGAAATTTTATGAGCAGCGGGACAATCACGTGTTACGGTTTCAAATGATTCGGTGCAGCCAGTTTGGAGAAAAGTTTAATAAATATTTTGAGGTCTACATGTATAAAATGACCGTTTCATATCACCTTAAAAAGACTTCTTAGATATGAAAGCTGACTCTTCCATATCACCTTAAGGTGATCAAGAGAATATCTGGGAAGTCAAATCGTTAGGGAAAGTATTCTCCGAATTGGAGGTACCGATTCCTTTCAATTTTTACCTCGTGAATATGGAGGTCCTAAAGTAGCTCCTGAAACTCATGAAATTTTGTTTTTCATATAAAATTTATTTATGATGGACTAGAACCAATATGGCATGATCCGGGCATTTTTTCAATGTTTTACGCTTCTTGGAGGCTTAGAATCGAAAATGAAGAGTTTCAGGACCTAACTCCAACAATGTAGAATAGCGTAGAAATGAAATATTACAGAGTCAGATGAGAAAATATGAAAAATACTTTCGCCAACGATTGCAGGAGAATGCTGGCTCGTCTCGGGGCGAGTTTTTAGACAAAAAATTTAGTTGCAGCTAAACGTCACAGATGGCGACGTTGGTCATAAACAGTCGTTAGAATAATTAATTCCCGGGATTCCGACAATTTTACGTCGATCTCTTCATCATTACTTTACCGAAATGACGCATATCGTTATACGTATATAATACATACATTAGCCCAGAGTGGGTTGCGACGATAAACACGTGGAGATGATAACAGGAACGTCTACTGCGGCAATGAATGCAATGAATGCACCCTCTTCAACGTCTCAATTATTGCAATCATCGAATCATTACATCGCGACATGTAAATTGACGGCAACTTTACTGTATACAATTTTGCGACGTCGCACTCTCTGCAACGCGAATAAAGTAAAAAAAAATTTAATTTAATTTAAAAATTTAATTTCTCAGCGTCTTTCATATCATCTTAAGGTACAGAAAAATTAATAAATTGGTAATAAGGTATAGAAATTGTTTCATCGAGCGCCTACGATACAGAGGTTAGGGTTACCCTGCCCTGAGAATAATGTACAACTGGAGGCGAAGAAATTTTAGTCATATTTAAACCTAGTAGATTTTTACTTATTTCGACATTTTTGGTTTAGTTGAAAGCGTCCCACCTTTAATCCCCGTAAAGAAATAATTATTTCAACCAATGAAAATTTCACTTGAGTCAACTATTCGATTTTTAAATAGTCACATTTATTTCATTTCAAGTACCTTATTTTTCTCACAAGGATGATATCCCAGGTCGATCTCTCCGATTTGATTTCTTTTATAATATGTTATAGTAGACTAAAAACTAAGCGACGCGTATTTTTTTTTATGTGCCATTAAACACTTTAGGGGGGTGAAACCGCCATCCAAAGTAAGGCCTGTGAGGGGTGGCTCACCCCTTAATTTTTTTTTNTATGTAACAATACATATTATAAAAGATATCAAATCAGAGAGATCGACCTGGGATACCTTCCTTATCAGTGAGGGCGCTCTGGGATGTGATAAAAATCAGAATTTCGCCCTCCACAAAGCGGAGTAGATTTAACAGAGTGATCAGCCGAGTGAAGAAACTCGGTCGGAATACGACCACACGTTTGAGTTCCACTTTGGCTCGTTGTACTCGCAAATTTGGCCCGCTCGTTTCTCCCGCGCCCCGGATAAGGGAGCGCGACCCGTTCCCCTAAGGATAGGATAGAATTTCAAGGATGTCCGGAAGTTTTCGAGAGACAACCTTTGTGTTTGAGGGGAAAGATCAAAGGCACCTTTGTTGCACGCGAGCAACGTTTCCTGCGACACTCCACTGTGCGGTGGATGTGGCCCGAAACTCACACAACGCCCTGATACACCTCTAATGTACCTGTAATGTAGTGTCTTACGTGTAGTATGCATTTAATGTGCAACATCATGCGTACATCGAACGCAAATTGCATCATTGCGCCTGGCTTGATTGCGCAGGGAAATTGTAAAGGGTAAAATGATAAAATTTATAAAGGTTCAAATTGTTGCTGAAAGTATATTATCGATAAGTTGATATTATTTTTCACCATTAAATCGTTAAAGATTCAGATGATTCGGTGGACCCAGTTTGAAGAAAAATTTGATGATTTAGAATGACAATTTGATATCATCTTGCGCTGATATATACACACACCAAAAAGTGAAAATATTTATAAAACTTTTCTCCAAACTGGGTGCATCAATTTATCTAAAACTTTAACATGTGATTATGGAATTTCATTTAAAAAAATATATATATATCTTTTTTTGGTTCTTGTCCGAGATAAGTACATTTTTTTTTTTTTCGAAAAAAGACATTTTATAAGCAGCGCGTTATTCCTTAGGGCCTCCATAATCACGTGTTAAAGTTTCAGATAATTCGGTGGACCCAGTTTGAAGAAAAGTTTCATAAATATTTTCACTTTTTCTTATGTATATGTTCCCATAATTATGAAAGTGGTCTAAGTCCATATATTTTTTGTTTCGAAATTACATTGAATTAATTTCGTTTGAAATAATATGGCGTGAAATAACTGATAAACTCATTTTTTTTTAATTTTGACTTAGACCACTTTCATAATTATGGGCACATATATCACACTTTCATATCACATTAAGGGAGACAGCAAGGCGAGAAATCGAAATGGCGCGAAGTATTACCGAAGCGAGAATATACGGACGTCCCCTGTGCAATGTAATTAGAATAATATTACTTTTAAGGAACCCATTTACAAAGGCCCGTCTCTGGAATTGCTTGCAGATCGAGGAAAACTCATCCCGGTGCCGTGGTGCATTTGAGCGATAATCCTTTAGACTTAAGCAAGGTACGTATCGTCCGAGAGATCCAATTAAGGTGAAGTGAAACCTCCCTCCAACCATTCAATTCGGATAAGACACTTTTTTTCTACAAGTATTACATAAGAGTATTACACAAAAGTGTCTGAAACTCTAACCTCCACTCGTGAGTACCTAAGGAATATCGTGACACTTATGAAATTTGGATTTTCAATCAAAATTTATTGACTTAGTCTAGACCAGAACCAAAATGGCGTCGAGCTCTCATATTTCGATCAATATACAATTATCGAAGGCTCTGATATGAGAAACGAAAGGATCAGGACAATTTTACGACAATTTAGGACACTGTGGTAATCGATTAAGTCGCATTTTGAACGTGATAAAGGCAAAAAAAGTGTTTTATGCTCTTGTATGCCAAAACGATGGGAATACGAGGTCTCGTGATCATCTAAGAATTGACCTGACACATTCAAAATTTGGATTTTTTTTTTAATTTTTTTAACTCAGCCCAGATCAGAACCAAAATGGCGTCGAGCTCTCATATTTCGATCAATATACAATTATCGAAGGCTCTGATATGAGAAACGGAAGGGTCAGGACAATTTTATAACAATTTAAAACACTCTGGTAATGGAGAAACTCGCATTTGAACGGGATAAAGGCAAAAAAAGTGTCTTATGCGCTTCTAAGCTAAAACGGTGGGAATACGAGGTCTCGGAGTGAAAATTTAATTGACCTGGAAATCACAGATGGCGCAGGGGGTCCCTCTGCAGTCAATTAGGGTCTCAAAAAGCACAAATCCAGGGGATTTCTGGAGTTTTACTTTGATTTCTTTATAATTATTGTACGAAAATGACAGGTGGAGGATGCCATTTAGTGCTATACCCAATACAATTCGACACAGCTGTGAATATAAAAACGAACGTCGACAGCATAGGTATTTAGAAAAATTTTTATCGTCAGCGATCAAGTTCCTCGACGTGTTTCACTTCACCTTAATCCGAGGAACCGCTCGATGCGGCCAAGACGTACGATGAGTTTTTCAACATCAATTTCCGATCTGCTTTCAGATGCTGATCGGGTACGAGACCGGGCAAATCGTTTTCTGGGACTTAAAGACCAAACAGGCGGATTACAGGTGTCAGTCCGACGAACCACTCAGATCAATATCTTGGCATCACGACGGGAAACAGTTTATGTGCAGTCATACAGATGGATCCCTTTCCACGTGGACTCTGAGGAACACGAAGCCGATAAACGTTACACATCCCCATGGTTAGTTCCGATGCAACTATGCCTTTCGCCAGGACACTGTTAAAAAAATTCATACACTTCTAGTACATAAGGTTGTAATACAATTATTAATTTGATGTCTTAACCCTTTGAACCCGGAGCCATTTCGACATATGGGCGAAATTCGTCTGACCGTGCAGGCAATATTGGACCAAACGTCGGACGCCTTTAGGCGCTCTTAGTAGCCAAAGGGTTAAAAGTGAATTAGTACACATTTGTTGCGAACTTGTAAATAAATTTACAATTTTGTAACATTGTGTTATGATTTTGTGAAATTGTGTGGGAAAATTGTAAATTTTATATTCGAAAGTTACTTAGTACACATTATTGATAATTTTCTGTGATGAGTTTTTAAATTCATGAAACTATTTTATAATTTTGTAAATGTGTTTTCTAAAATTGTTATTTTTTTTCGTTATAACTGTACTATGTACGAATGTCCTGTAATTATGATACATATATCATAAAATTACTAATATCCTTTATAATTTTATTACATACTTGTGTATTAAATTTATAACACATGTCATATATTTTATTTGAAACTATATTAAAATTAGTAAACCATGTCTGAATAAAACTTTCGTCAAAAATGTTATAAAATTCACAGAATTTTTTTAACAGTGTATGCTTCTGCTATACGGATACTTGAATCGCAAATGCAGTTGTAAGACTCAACTGTAAGTTCACTATCGTCGATAAGTCTAAAAGTAACAAAAAAAATCGACTAAAGTTGTGAACAAAATTTTAAAGGGAGACTATAGTTACTCATTTTAGTAAGTGTGTGTTGATGGATGATTAAAGTCACTCGTAGTTTTAGCGAATACGTTGATGGGTGACTATAGTCACTTGTTTTAACGAATATGTTGATGGGTGGCTATAGTCAATCGTTGTTTTAGAGAATACGTTGATAGGTAACTATAGTCAATCGTATTAGCGATTATATTGATGAGTGACTATAGTCACTCGTTGTTTTAGCGAGTGTGTTGATGAGTGATTACAGTCACTCATCATTTTGGCAAGTGTGTGTTGATAGGTGACTATAATCACTTCTAATTTTAACTGGAGTAATGGTTAATTGTCGTTATTTCTCTGTGAACAGCAAAGTCAACAAAAGACGGGGAGCCAGAGCCTTGTAAATCCATTCAGAAAGTAGAGTGGAAGCTTTGCAGATCGTCCGGGTAAGTCGACGTCGAGATAATTATTCTTTGCGTATTTGTAACTTGGATTAACGGAGAAGAATCGAAAGTCCAAGAAGCATTTAAAGGGAGGAAAATACCAACCAATCTCGACCAATTGTCGTCAACAAAATTGTCTCTCTGCACGTAAAAAGTAATATGTTCAAGTCTGCATAGAAAACAAAAACATTCACACTTTTAGCAAATGACAGTATCGCTGAGAAAGTTTTGCTCTTCCTGCATTAATAATCCCACCAACAACAAAAATGTTTGCAATAATATCGAATCGAAGATATAATCATTAGTACTACTTTTAGAAAAAATGCTTGCAAAATTAGCAAATGAATTTGCTGCAACGGCCAAAAAAATATTCTTATCTAAAATGTATAATTTTATTACAACCTTGTACCAAAAGTGTATGAATTTTTTTAACAGGACAGAATGACCCATATCACCTTAAGGTGACATGAAAGTGTGATATATACATAATAAAAGGTCAAAATATTTATTAAACTTTTAGAGTCTCCATAAGCACGTGTTAAAAAGCCAACACGTGATTATGGAGGCTCTGAAGCCTAAAGTTTTAGATCATTTGGTGCACCCAGTTTGGAGAAAAGTTTTGTAAATATTATCACTTTTTGTTATGCACATGTTACACTTTCATATCACCTTATCGGGGTTGCTTTGTTATGTCGCAGAGAGGCGTATATAATATATTCCGGTGGACTGGGTCATTACAACCCTTTGAGGAGGTCCAGCATCACGGTTATACAATTTCGCGTTCTTTCAATGGCTTTAGAGCCCCCATAACCACGTGTTGGCTCTTTAACGCGTGTTATATCTTAATCATGTGTTAAAGAGCCAACAAGTAAAGTTTCAGATAATTCGGTGCACCCAGTTTGAAGAAAAGTTTTATAAATATTGCCACTTTTTGTCATGCATATGTCACACTTTCGTATCACCTTAACGGGGTTGCTTTGTTATGTCGCAGAGAGGCGTATATAATATTTTCCGGTGGACTAGGTCATTACAATCCTTTAAGCTCGTCCAGCATCACGGTTATACAATTTCGTTACACAATTATGGAGGCTTCAGAGCCTCCATAACCACGTATTGGCTGTTTAACGCGTGTTATATCTTAATCACGTATTAAAGAGCCAACACGTAAAGTATTAGATAATTCTGTGCCCCCAGTTTGGCGAGAAAGTTTGATAAATATTATCACTTTTTGTTACGCATATGTCACACTTTCATATAGCCTTAACGGGGTTGCTTTGTTATGTCGCAGAGAGGCGTATATAATATTTTCCGGTGGACTGGGTCATTACAACCCTTTAAGGACGTCCAGCATCACGGTTATACAATTTCGCATTCTTTCAATGGCCTTAGAGCCTCCATAACCACGTGTTAAAGAGCCAACACGTGATTATGGAGGCTCTGAAGCCTAAAGTTTTAGATAATTTGGTGCACCCAGTTTGAAGAAAAGTTTCATAAATATTATCACTTTTTGTTACGCATATGTCACACTTTCGTATCACCTTAACGGGGTTGCTTTGTTATGTCGCAGAGAGGCGTATATAATATTTTCCGGTGGACTGGGTCATTACAACCCTTTGAGGACGTCCAGCATCACGGTTATACAGGGAAAGACGACGACGGTGCTCGAGATGGAGCAGAACGTGGTGGACTTTATAACTCTGTGCGAGAGTCCCTGGAGCAGCGGTACGCAAGGAGGTTTCCTTACTACTCGTTTGAGAGTTAACTGGCTGCACGCAACTATTCGTACCGATATTCGTAACTATACCTCGCGCACGGTACCTCGGCTCGTCTCCGGCGGGAACGAGAGCCGAGTAACTCGAGGCGGGCTTGACTGGGCAGCGTTTTTTATATCTGTACTTCCACTTTTCCCACAGACTTCCAAGATCCTTACGCAGTAGTAGTGTTGCTGCAAAACGACCTCGTAGTCATAGATTTACTGACACCTGGATTTCCTTGCTTTGAAAACCCATATCCCATGGACATTCACGAATCTGCTGTAACTTGCTGTGCATATTTCGCCGATTGCCCGTCGGACTTGGTGCCGGCCTTCTATTCGGTTGGTTCTAAATCGCAGAAGAAAACCGGATTCAGTGAAAAGGAATGGCCAGTCTCTGGCGGAGAATGGAGCCCCAATTCTAGTAGTTACAATGAGATTATACTTACTGGGTGAGTTACTTGGACGACTTTCGGCGTCATCTCCTTCGCGGACCTCCTCCCCTCGTTTTGTCTTTCGCTTCCTTATCGTTATCGGGATTCTTCGCGGACTTCTTCTTCTTATAGTCCTTCGCCGTTTTCGACTTAGGCACTCCGGGTTGGCATGACTAGGATCAAATCACATTTCGCCTTTGAGAGAACCCTTTTCGAGACTGGATTACAGATTCTAAAGCAAGGATCGTTACGAAAAACGGGCCGAAATGAGAAATGTACTGTAATAAAAATGCCCATGTCATTTTAGATATTTAAGGTGAAGTGAAACACGTCGAGGAACTTGATCGACGTCGATAAAGATTTGTCTAAATACCTACGTTGCCGACTTTCGCTTTTATATTGACAGCTGGGTCGAATTATATTGGGTATTGTACCAAATGGCATACTCCACCTGTCGTTTTCGTACAATAACTATAAAGAAATCGAAGTAAAACTCCAGAAATCCTCTGGACTCGTGCTTTCTGGGGCCCTAATTAACTGCAGAGGGACCCCTTGCGCCATCTGTAATTTCCAGGTCAATTAAATTTTCACTCCGAGACCTCGCCCGTGTCATTTTGCATATTTAACGTGAAGTGAAACACGTCGAGGAACTTGATCGACGTCGATAAAAATTTTTCTGAATATCTACGTTGCCAACGTTGGTTTTTATATCGACAGCTGTGTCGAATTACATTGAATATTGTACTACATGGCTCCATCCGTCGTTTTCGTACAATAATTATAAAGAAATCGAAGTAAAACTCGAGAAATCCTCTGTATTCATGGTTTCTGAGGCCCTAATTGACTGCAGAGGGACAACCTGCGCCATCTGTGATTTCTAGATCAATTAAATTCTTACTCAAGTACTCCCATCGTTTTAGCATAAAAGCGCAGAAAACACTTTTTTGCTTTTATCTTGTTCAAATAGGAATTTATAGATTACCAAAGTGTTCTAAATTGTCGTAAAATTGTCCTGACCCTTTCGTTTCTCATATCAGAGCCTTCGATAATTGTATATTATTCGAAATATAAGAGCTCGACGCCATTTTGATTCTGGTCTGGGCTAGGTTAAACTATTTTTTCCAAAAATCCAAATTTTTAATGTGTCAGGACAATTCTTAGATGATCACGAGTCATGTGTCAATGATTCGGACAGTTTGGTCCAATACCCTTAAAAAAAAGTGTCTTCGAATCGACTGATTTGAAGGGGGTTTCACTTCACCTTAATCATCGGTTATTGTTATGCTATTTAGAGAATCTTGGCCAATGATCTCGACAATCAAACCTGGGAATCTGGAAAACAAAGGAATCAAAGACAAATCTCGTATCCCCAAAGTCAGGAGTCATGCCAACCCACGCCGAGGAAATGATGCCATTGAGCCAAAGAAATATTTTCATAATTCAAAGAATAATTATTCCCCTGAAATTCCAATAAACTGGACGCGGCATTTCTTCGGGAAGATCAAGGGGGATTTAAAATTCTTCCAGCTAAATAATTATTCTCCGTATCGATGCCATTCAAAGAAATACTTCCTTGGTTCAAGGATGTCTTTTCCTCGGTGGATCCTTGCTTTCCGTGATTCGTTAACCCTTTCGTTACCTTGGACGAGATATCTCGCGACCCGATACTGGCCGCTCAACGCTTTTGACGAGATATCTCGCGACCCGGTAGTAGCGGATTAACGCTTTTGACGATAATCTATCGGATCGCGAGATATCTCGTCAAAAGCGTTGATCGGCCAGTATCGGGTCGCGAGATATCTCGTCAAAAGCGTTGATCGGCTACTACCGGGTCGCGAGATGTCTCGTCAAAAGCGTTAATCGTCCAGTATCGGTCGCGAGATATCTCGTCAAAAGCGTTGATCGGCTACTACCGGGTCGCGAGATATCTTGTCAAAAGCGTTGATCGGCCAGTATCGGGTCGCGAGATATCTCGTCCGAGGTAACGAAAGGGTTAATTTAATTTCCGTTTTCCCGCAAAAGTCGAACGGTGGCCTCAAGATGACGGAAAGTGACCTCGGTCCGCACCTGGGGAGTGAAAATGTCGTGCCGTGTGAAACTTGTAATAATTTCAGACACTCCGACGGTAGCATAAAGTTCTGGGACGCATCGGCTGGCACGCTGCAAGTCCTCTATAAGCTAAAGACAGCAAAGCTGTTCGAAAAGACGAAAGCTCGCAGTTTAGAGACTGACGACGACCCGCTTGCGATACAGCTTATTTTCCTATGTCCCGAGAGTCGCAAGCTCGCGATAGCAGGCTCGGGAAAGCACGTCGTCTTGTTTAAGTTCAAGAAGGTCGAAGGGATGTCGGAGGTGGTGGTGAGTCTTAGAAATAAAGATGCCGGATCCCTCGGCCAGCAGGAGAGGCGACCGAAGGATCATCGACTGGGGAGGACCTGGGGAAATATTTCCACGCGTTCAATTTTTTTCTTTCAGACCCTCGAGGTGCCCTTCGTCTCCGACTTTACGAGGGAACAAGAAAGCTCGCCGGATTACGAGCACCCCCCTAGTGGAAACGCCTCTGGCGAGGAGTCCAAGCACTCGGTAGAGTACAATCATCCCTTAAAAGTGAAAAGCGGTTTGCAAAAAAGGGCAGCGGGTTTCCAAGCTACCTTGATCTGTCTAACGTTCGGGGCCAATGGAGAACAACCTGAGAACATAACCGCGCTCAGTTTAAATTCTTCCTACGGCCTGTGAGTATGTCGCATCTTGCGGGTGGTACGCCGAGAGAGAAGAGTTCACTTTTCGGATAGAACGAGTATTTAATCGGGTCCAATTGATACTTCACTGGTTACGACGAAATCAATCGTGGGGTCTATCGAACGAAATTAACTCCTTAACGTAAAATGACGTCTGGGAGACGTCATTCATTTCATGTGCCATTGTAGACTTTGATGTCTAGAAGACGTCAGGAACTACCTTCAGACAAATTAAATAGCTTTTTGTGGACGCATCAAATTCTGTTTTATTTTTATGTCAAGGGGTTAAGATGAATTTTGAACGATACATCATTTTTTCGAGCCTAAGATGATATGAAAGGCGCTGATAAATTAAATCCAGGTCGATAAATTAAAATTCATGTGTACCCTTTTTGGTGGGTCTATCGAACGGCATTAATCCTTTGACATAAAATGACGTCTGGGGGACGTCATGAACTGCCTTCAGACAAATTAAATAGTACTTTTCGGATGCTTCAAATTCCGTTTTATTTGTATGTCAAGGGGTTAAGACGAATTTTGAACGATACACCATTTTTTCAAGCCTAAGATGATATGAAAGGCGGTGATAAATTAAATTCAGGTTGATAAATTAAAATTAATGTGTACCCTTTTTGGTGGGTCTATCGAACGAAATTAACCCCTTGACATAAAATGACGTTTGGGAGACGTCATTTTTTCGAGCCTATGATATGAAAGACGCTGATAAATTAAATCCAGGTCGATAAATTAAAATTCATGTGTACCCTTTTTGGTGGGTCTATCAAACGAAATTAACCCCTTGACATAAAATGACGTCTAGGAGACATCATTTTATGTCAAGGAGCCGGGTTCCTTGGTCGAGCCTTCAAGCAACAGACTTTTCGAGGGGTAGAACGGCAGGGGGAAGAGAACGCATTGTCGGAGATGAATCTCGCTAATAGCTGGGCTTGTTTCCGCCAAGTATGGGCATTTTATCAGTCGTCGATTTATCGTCGATAACCCTTTTGTTCCTATTCGGCTTTGAAAAGCGGCGCACGAACGGGGCTCTGAAAGGCACCGAGCCAATGGATCGCTGAAAAGCAGGTTGCTTGAATGCATCGGGCCGCAAAGGTGAACCGAGGACCAAGGGTGGATAATGAAAAATGGAGCGAGTCTGAAGGAGGGAAACGTTTGTTTCAGCATGGCGTACGGGAGCGACTTAGGTATCGTAATAGTTGACATTGTACAGAAGGTATCGCTGCTGGTCCTGAGCACGGCGGACCTGGGGAATAGCGGGGATCCTCATCAGCGGGCCCTGAGGAGTCCCAAGAGGCAGGACGAGACCAGGAAGGAAAATGACGATAAGGCAAGGAGTCCAAGCGTAGACCAGGTAAAATGTGCTTCTTTCGCTGTCCATCCTCTTGATCTCTCGCCCTTTTGCCCCTGTGCCGTATATTCGCGAACCGATCAACGAGCTTCTCCTCACTTGTGTGCCCCCTGATCACGAACGCTCCGTATCACCGCCGATGATGCAAAAAGAACAAGGTGCGCTTCCGCGGAGGCCTTACTTTTTATCACTCCTTTTGCGCCTTCCATTCCGCAATATAGCTGCCGTTTGTTTACCAGCATCATATGGAATGGAAAGACACAATTGTAACTATTTTTTTCATTTCTTTTAAATTTATTTCGCTGTCGTAGCCATATTTTCATACCACACTCATGAACGCTCCATACTCCCGCCAATGATGCGAAGGAGACAAGGTGCGCTTCCTCGGAGGCTTTATTTTTTTATTACTTTATTAATGGAAAAATGAAACTTGTAACTATTTATATTATTTTTTTTTAATTTGTTTCGCTGTCGTAGCCATATNCTTCCACAGAGGCTTTATTTTTTTATTACTTTATTAATGGAAAAATGAAACTTGTAACTATTTATATTATTTCTTTTTAATTTGTTTCGCATTTGTAGCCATATTTTCATACCCCACTCATAAACGCTCTGTACTCCCGTCAATGATACGAAGGAAACAAGGTGTGCTTCCTCGGAGGCCTTATATTTCATCACGCATTTTGTGTTTTCCATCCTGCAATATGACAACAACATAACAATATGCGTACAATAAAGACATTTCTGGAAAAAGAAGTTGAAGCAACCCGAGTTCTTTCCTATGCCTGTGAATTATTTTTCTGCTCGTGGTTATGAAACATAGCAAATTGTGGGAGTCCATCAGAAAGACTATCTCACCTTTTCTCTTTTGTATCATATCCTCTCCTTAAAAAACTATCGTCTTTTGTTATCCTCGCGTCCCGGCGAGCGGAGAACCTCCCGATTCATTAAAAGCTCAAGTTCAGTTAATGTAAACTCTACGTACAACATGGAAAGCCAGTAAGGTTTCCATTTCTCCTGCAATTGCACACCTTGGGGAGTCCAGAAGCCGCACTTGTTCGTTCATTGGCTTCGAATCTCATTGTCAGTCGCATTAAGTCTGCAATTTGTTCTGCCGATATCGATTCTGCAGAAGATACGCTTTTTGTTTAACGATTATGTTCCTAAAGTCTCGGTATAAGACTTTGAGAGGTACCTTCAGATCCACTTGTAAACAACAATCAGCTGATTCCTAGTCAAGCATATAGTCGCACTTGTTCGTTCATTGACTTCGAATCTCATTGTCAGTCGCATTAAGTCTGCAATTTGTTCTGCCGATGTCGATTCTGCAGAAGAAACGCTTTTTCTTTAACAATTATGTTCCTAAAGTCTCGGTATGAGCGACTTTGAGAGGTACCTTCAGATCCACTTGTAAACAAACATCAGCTGATTCCTAGTCAAGCATACAAGACTCGTCAAAATATCCGGAAGAAAAAAAAAAACTCGAGTACTTACACTTCCCGTAGAAGTAGAAGGAACACAATGCCATACATAGGTCGATTATGCGAGTATATATATTTCTTAGGCTTTAGTGTTAATTTTCTTTCAGTACAGTCTTGCTTCGGTCGCGTTACGCTGATAAAAGTGCCCATGTAAATTTGCATACTCAATCATTGTTTATTTCGATGCCAGGATAAATTGCAGGATAATTACCCTGTATCACATTCGGCTACCGAGTTAAATTATTGAAAATTACAATATGATATTTTATTAAATTCAAGTATCTATACGTTTCCTAATTCGTCATTTCCCCACATGACGTTTTTCTACGTGGATCTTAAGTTATAAATCGCGGAGAAAATGTATGTAAATTTCATTAGACTTTTTATCAGTGTGCGCCCAACTTGTGGAGTTCGTCGGCGCTTAATTGACTGTACTTGTACATATCTCTTTCTTTTCTCCCCTTTATCGATAGTTTAGAACAAAGGTACGTGTCACACCTGCTGATCGCACAGAGACAATCGCTTATCAAAAGTTTCCAGTCCTGTTCGCAAAGGCTGTCGAAACGGAAAAGGCGAAGCAATTTAAGAGAACACACGAAACGAGAACGCCATCGTCAACTACTGGTCATACTTGTCATTTTCCACTCAGGTTTTAGTATAGTAATTTTTCCTAGAGCATATAGTTTGCAGTTCGAGGCAAAAGCTGCACTTGACTCTTTCCGGATCGAAGTCTTGTACATGTTTTGAAACACTTAACACTAGAATTACCGACGGACTTTTTTTTTTATAGGATGGGCCATTTGAAACCAGTCATTTTGACTGGTCTTGGTAGTTCTGGTGTTAAGCCCGTTTTCTCAACTATACTCACAAGGGCGGTATTGCAGGTCGATCTCTCCGACTTCATTTCTTTTATTATATGTTATAGTAGACTAAAAACCAAGCGACACGTATTTTTTTTTATCTGCCATTAATCATTTTAAGGGGGTGAAACCACCATCCAAAGTAAGGCGATTTGGCAGTTTTACTAACAAGAACACAATATTTTTTAACCAATCCACCTGGAAAAGCTTTCTTATAACGAGAAATGAAAAATATAATTTTCTCAATTAAAAAAAAAAAAATTAAGGGATGAGCCACCCCGCACAGGCCTTACTTTGGATGGTGGTTTCACCCCCTTAATGTTTTTTAGTGTAAAGTATTTTTTAACCAAACCATCTGGAAAAGCTTTCTCATAACGAGAGATGAAAAATAAAATTATCTCAATTAAAAAAAAAAATTAAGGAGTGAGCCACCCCTCACAGGCCTTACTTTGGATGGTGGTTTCACCCCCTTAATGTTTTTTAGTGTAAAGTATGTTTTAACCAATCCATTTGGAAAAGCTTTCTTATAACGAGAAATGAAAAATAAAATTTTCTCAATTGAAAAGAAAATTAAGGGGTGAGCCACCCTTCACAGGCCTTACTTTGGATGGTGGTTTCACTCCCTTAAAGTGTTTAATGGCAAATAAAAAAAAATACGTGTCGCTTAGTTTTTAGTCTACCATAACATATTATAAAAGAAATCAAATCGGCAAGATCGACCTGGGATACCTTCCTTGTCAGTCGTTTGTCAGCAACTTGTCCACAGCACTGATCTGTACACTAACTATTATAGATAACCGATATCCTACAAAATTATGTCTCTTATTTCGTTTATACCTTAACTGTTTACCTTCGCGAATTGACGGTTCATAAGTTTTGCGCCATTCAACCGTAGATAACATTAATGCGGTCATTTTTATTAAAAAAAGATAACCGTTTTGTTTTAATCGAAGCTTTCTTACGATATGTCAAACGCACCGTTTTACACGTAAATTATGTCTTTTATGTCGTTTATACCTTAAATGTTTACCTTCGCGAATTGACGGTTCAACAGTATTGCGCATGCGCAGACGGTACTTATTTAGAGTCGCCGCCCACGTGTAGGGGCGCTGGGGTGCCTTGAATTCGTTTAAACAAATGGATATCAGCTATCAGTTAGTATATGTATCAGTGATCCACGGTAATGACTCGTCGCTATTGTTCCACTTAGTTCTCACGAATAGTTTTGCGCTTGTCTTTTCTTGTATATACATTATCGAACATTCGACATCTCGTTATGCTTGCCATACAGCGATTTTTGTACACACGCAAGACACGCAACTTTCACGACTAATCTCGATCTTATGCGAGCCGTGGCAATTTTTTATTACACTCCTGCCACATTAACGTCAATTATCGCTTGTTACGCTTTTTTCATCCGAGCCGTTATCACCAAACCATGAAGAACATTTGTTGGATATAAAAGAAATATGCAGGGTGCTTCTATGATACCAATCTCGACAGAAACCCTTTAGACACGAAGTTTCTTAACATTTCTCTTTTTTTAATCACATTGATAATACGTGACACGTACACCCAAATCATTTTCCGAGTAAAATGACAACGCTGGAAAATTTCTTAACATTTCTCTTTTTTAATCTTATTGGTAATACGTGACACACCCAAATCATTTTCCGAGTAAAACGAAAACGCTACGAAATTTCTTAACATTTCTATTTTTTAATTACATTGATAATACGTGACACGTACACCAAAACCATTTTCCGAGTAAAACGAAAACGCTACGAAATTTCTTAACATTTTTCTTTTCTAATCACATTGATAATACGTGACACTTACACCCAAACCATTTTCCGAGTAAAACGAAAGCACTACGAAATTTGTTAACATTTCTCTTTTTTAATCACATTGTTAATACGTGACACGTACACCCAAATCATTTCCTGAGTAAACCGCATACATATCAACGACCCTGCATTACCGTCGCTTTTATAAACTGCAACATGAAATTTTCCATCGATCAATCAAACAAACGATTTAATTTCTCCGGGATTACAAGAGATGGAATTAGCATTAGCCATCGCGTAGCACTAACATTTCCAGAAACACGATTTTGGTAATTGGACATCCGATTACCGTTGAATAAAAACTGAAATGCGGCTTCAATTTTTACGATTTGTTTTTTATATCGATTAGGGAGCCAATTTGTCATCGCCTCATTGATCGGATATCGATCTCGTCTACTTTAGGTATCGAAATTGAGTCAATACTCGAACGGCCCCCTCCATAATAAATGACGCTCTTAATATCGCATGTAATAAAATTTAATACGTTTAACCCATTAGTATTTGCCTCGCATTATGCGACAGCGTATGCATATTATGCATTTGCCAAAGTAGAGAGGTAGAATAATGCATCGCACTGACCTATTCATGGTAATCATGCGTGCATGAATTGCTGTTTGAATCGCATTAATGGCGTACTAAACATCACCAACATGTCGCTCGGCTTCTGTATTTCTGCTCGGATGCAAACCCACAATTTAACCCCCGCAAAATCCCGAGACGAGTTGAATTTAAACCGTCGAAAATACTCCGGAAGCGTAATGAATATATTTATCGTGTACATAAAATTCCATTTTGCGATTCCTGCATGTCCGAGA